CATAGATTCCCGAGTCCCTGTAAATGTCATCCCAATTTCTCCGGTTTACAGATAACCTAATCTCTCACAGAGATTTGACGAATTCCTTCAACTTATCACCCTAGCCCTGTGCTCTTTCAGGACAAGCCCAACATTATACCTATGAGTCTCCATGTTTCAGGCAGACGAGGTATACAGTCAAAGCATGCCTTCTAGAACACAGTCTAGGTAATAACTTCTGGTCTAAGGAAAGACATACCCAAATATAAAGAGACTACTCTAATGATACTCTCTGTGAGATTTCCTCATAGAGTCTCTTTGTGGGTCTGTTCAGTGCGAGCTATACCCTTATAGTGTTAGTATTTGGGTGTCCTAGAGACAATCTTATGATTAAATAAGGACAGAGATATAGACCTTTTTAATATTGTTGCAAATAAATAAAAGCACTCTTTATCTTGTTTCATAATTATGTCTCGATATTAATATTAATATATTATGAATAACTTGATAAACTCCGTGGAATAAAATAGGTATCTCTTGAGTATCTATGATGAGATCACAATCATGAGGATTCAAGAATACCGGATGTTTATTCCTAATTTTATGTTCCTAGTCTAGAGATACTGAGAATGAGGTCAGTAATCTCGGGTAAGACTAGCACGACTTATCCATTTGTATATGGATACAAGGTATAGACCTCATGTGCTACAGATATGGAGATGTCTTAGCTAAAGTCGTGGGTGGACCTATAAGGGTATAGCTCGCACTGAACGGACCCACAAAGAGACTCTATGAGGAACTCTCACAGAGAGTATCATTAGAGTAGTCTCTTTATATTTGGGTATGTCTTTCCTAAGACCAGAAGTTATTAGCTAGACTGTGTTCTAGAAGACATGCTTTGATTGTGCACCTCGTCTGCCTGAAACATGGAGACTCATAGGTATACTGTTGGGCTTGTCCTGAAAGAACACAGGGCTAGGGTGATAAGCTGAAGGAATTCGTCAAATCTCTGTGAGAGATTAGGTTATCTGTAAACCGGAGAAATCGAGATGACATTTACAGGGACTCGAGAATCTATGCATAGTAAAAGAGATCATGAGAGGATCTGCCTTTAGAGTCTGTAAATTGAAGATTCCCTATTTCGAATAAAGCTTACCCTAAACCGCAGGGGTTGATACGCTTCCTTACCCTAGGTTTTATGGGAAGGTAACCGAGACGAAAGGAAATATATACGGCAACGAAATATGTTTAATAGGATGATCAAATCATTAATCTAACTAGTTCTGGGGCAACAAAGCATTGCTAGTGCTCTGTGTTGTCATTAGATGAGTTGTGGGCTTATTGGGCCCAAGCCCATTTGTATCAGTGGCTAAGTTGGACCTAATGGGTCACACACAAACACCTAATTGTCTAGATGCTCTAGCATTAAAGGTATTGGGCCTAATAATAGTTATTAGCCCAAGAAGTTGTTTGGAACTCCACCTAAAGGGGTGGAGGGCGCATGGTTCATTGTAATGGGCTTGGATAGTCCAAGACATTACTAATTAATTTAATTAGTTAAATTAATTATCAAACATTTAAATTTTGAATTTTGGAATTCGAAATTCGAAATTTGAAAATTTTAATTTGAATTTCGAAATTCGAATTTTGAATTGGAAATTTGAAATTTGAAATTTGGATTTTGAATTCGAATTTTGAAATTTGAATTTTGAAAATTTGAATTTTGAATTTGAATTTTGAATTTGAATTTTGAATTTGAATGTTTGAACATTTGAATTTGAATATTTGAATGTTTGAATTCAAATATTTGAATTTGAATTTGAATTGCCTATGAAAGGTTGTTTCATAACAAAAGGATAAGATGAGATCTTGTTGGAACAAATCACTAGTATCATGAGAGAATCTTTTGGACAAGATCCAAGGCCATATATGGCGCTGATTTGGGTTGTTGGTGAGCAAGATTTGCTCATCAAAATCAGCTCCAGAAGATTCAGTCAGTTGGGAGAAAATCTGAGTGAGTTGATTCAAATTTGAATGCAACTACTCAGATGTATCTGGTCACCTTTTTGGGCTATATGGGGCGCACCATATAGCTGATCTTATGAAGATTTCTGATCAGAATTTTGAATAGGTTTTGAACCAATTCTCAAGAAAATATTCTAGGAGACTGTTAGCAATTTTTGAAATAAAACAACTCCACTTCTCTCTCTCCAATCTGGCGCCTAATGATCAGATTTTTAGGAGAAAAATCTGATTGGTATTTTATTTTAAATACTCTTCTCTTATGCGCCTATGTGATCAGTTGTTCCTCCAAGGGTTTTTCTGAAAAACCTAGCCTATTCTCTTCTCTCTCTTGCGCCACTTGTGAAGCTTTCACATTGAGAGCTTCACTTTTTCAAACACTTTCACCTAGCCTCCATCTTCACACATAGAGCGCCTAGCAAGCCACTTTGTGGTGATCATCCGGTGGCTTCACAAGAAGGAGTTCTTGCACCTAGACGAGTGGGTGGTGTGGATCAACGTTAGAGGGTATGAACCCTTCAGACCGGCCTTGATCATCTGGTGATTTCACGAATAAGGTAACATCATGCAATCCTAAAGCATGATCTTGATGTGCATGTATACTCCGCAAAGAAAATTTTTGTTTTTCCCTCTTGCATGCATCGGCCTTCAAGGCCATTTCGAACTTTCATATAGGTCCACCCACGACTTTAGCTAAGACCTCTCCATATCTGTAGCACATGAGGTCTTTACCTTGTATCCGTATACAAGTAGATAAGTCGTGCTAGTCTTATCCGAGATCATTGATCCCCATTCTCAATGTCTCTAGACTAGGAACATAATATTAGAAATAAACGTGCGGTATCCTTGAATTCTCATGATTGTGATCTCATCATCACAAATACTCAAGAGATACCTGTTCTATTCTAAGGGGTTTATCCAGTTTATTCATAATATATATTAACAATAATATCGAGACATAATATGAAACAGGATAAAGAGTGCTTATTATTTATTTGCGACAATAAAGGTCTACATTTAATGTCCTTATTTAATCAAAAGATTGTCTCTAGGACACCCATATACTAACATTTATCACAATTAAACATACTTCCATTTTATAGAAGTTTCACATCAAACCATTGTTTGATACTTACCTCAATCTCAAGCAATCAAGAGCCTTGCTCAATGTCCATGCTCTTGCTCCACCAGTCCACTTGGTCTCACACTATAACCAAGGAACACATTTACATCATTATCCATCATCAATTCATATATACTGTACTGTTCATATCTATAGTACTATTCACGTATACGTCATTATTCACGTGTACGACACTATTCAAAAATACGGTATCTTAAATTTTTTCGAATACATTTTCACCGTTAAAATCCTCATCTAAACACTTTTCTCAACATGAGCTATGCCTCAATCAAGCTCTAACATGCTCAGCCAAGCCAAATTTTCAAAATGAAAACTGAAATTCAATCTTCATAAAAACATGAAAATGAAAAGAATTTCTTATCACAATGCACTCTAGAACAAAGGAGAGTCGAGTTTCTAAGTTCCCATGACTTCAAACTCCATCAAAATCTATCTTTTCCATGAAATTCGAATTCTTAGGGGAGGAATAACTCTCTTTACAGTGAACCCCACCCAAAAATACTGGTACCAATGGATTCCTCTCGAAATTTCTCACAAATTTGGCTTTTAAAAGTAGTGATTTGGAGGTTTCTAGCTCTCTCTATGAATTTTGGAAGATTTTCCATCAAAATCCCATTTTCCATTTTTTTCTCCTCCGTCGTTTCAATCCGTGGAAGACGAAGGAATAGTGAAATTTTTTGAGAAATTTCACTTACATAGGTTAAGTGAAATTCAATTGGATAAAGACTTATCTATCTAGTCACCAGTATTCATTACCAAATTTTATCCAATAGATTAGAATATTTTTCTAGTCATGTTTCTAACTTTACTTTCACTTTTTGGGTAACTTTGTTTATCCATATTTTTATCCCTTAACTGTTAGTGTAACTCTTTTTTCACTAAAGATGACTTTATTTCTTTTTTTTCTATTTTCTAATAATTATTTTTCAATATCATGATTAAATCATTAATTTATAATTAAATCTAAAATTACATGTGAGGATTATTATACTACGTAACAATCAATAGATATTTTCTTGCTTTATAAGCAGTTTTATATGTTTTCAGATTTATCTAACCCGAAAATGAGATTCCCTGTCGACTATTATCAATATATGCATTTATTTTTTCCTTTTTTTTGGATAACCAAGATATGCATTTCTAATTGTATTAATAATTATAATTTGCAGTTTGCTGGCGACGTTCATTTATGCTTTCAAACAGTAGATTTTAAAAACAAGATAAAATAAAGTGAGGTAATGTCTCAGCCCATTTATTATTTTTTAAAGTAGGAGTTATTTTCAATTTGGATCAGTATCTATAAAATATTTTTAAGCAGAGAATAAAATTTAATTTCTTAAAAAAATGGGGAATGATGAATTTCAAAAAAATAAATGATTAAATAATTCTCTTGTAATAAATAAAATTATCTTCTATAATTCCAAAATGATTTCATTATAAAATTTAAAAAGAAAGAAATAAAATTTACTTTTCCACAAACCCAATATATATATCTTTATATTATATAATAAGAGAAACACTTTTCCTCAAAATAAATAAAATTTCAACTTGTTTTCTTTTAAATTTTATTTTCATTTAAAGTTACTATCCAAACACGTGTTAAATTGTGAATTACTTTTTATTTTAACAAAATAAATTTATTGAATAATAATAAAATTCATCCAAATAACCCTAAATTAAAATAATATATTATTAGTTTTCAATAAAATTAGCCCAATCTAAAAACATATAATTGCGAGCTTCATTCACATATCACCGGAAAAGCCCAAATATTAATTTCGTTAAATGCAAGCCCAAATTTTCTTCCTCTTTGTGAATAAGTGCTCTCATTCACAAGTTGGAGTCTCCCAGGAGACAAAAACCTTAAACCCCCACATAACCGTTTCGCTCTTTTTCTTCAGAGTGCCGTAAGTGCCGTCACCCCTTTGTTATCTCGTCCTCCACTCTCTCACCAATCACCATCAGGTTCGTTAAACTTCTTTTTGCGTTTTTTTTGCATCACTTTTGGATTCAACAAACCTTTACATTCGATAGTGATTGTAGTTAATGTTGTTAATACTCTTTAGCAGTGTTAAGATTTAACTATGTTTGTAGATTAACCCTAATAGCGAAAACTGATTGGTTGTGGTTTTTGTGTATTGCCTTAGTAACTTGTAAAGCCAAGGAGCATTCCGTTGCCGGGGAAGTGACAATTAGGGGGCCTTTGGTACGAAGTATTTTACCGGATTCCCAGGAAACTGAATTTTTCTAAATTTTAAATTTTTGAATATTATCGTAAACTGAATGTAAAAATTATATTTTTAAAAATTGAGATGATATTCTCGGGTAAAAAAAAAAATTTCCTGTACCAAACGCCTCTTAACGTGTGTTTTATTTTGAATTTTATGGTGTATTCGCGTTTGAAGTCAATTACAATTTAAGATTTCTTCCAAACATGAAAATTAACTGTATAGTAGAACTCAATAATAGGGGTTGAATTGAATTCTCTGTGGATTTATTTTCAAAAACAGGGTTCCTGTGTTTCTAAAAGAGATATAGGCGCATACCATCGATGGCAGGAGGCAAGATCAAGAAGGAAAAGGGCAAGCCACAGCAACACACGCCTTACCAAGGTGGCATATCTTTTCACAAATCAAAGGGTCAGCATATACTCAAGAACCCATTACTTGTTGATGCCATAGTGCAAAAATCTGGTATCAAAAGCACTGATGTAATCCTCGAGATTGGTCCTGGTACTGGAAACTTGACAAAGAAACTTTTGGAAGCTGGCAAGAAGGTTATTGCTGTTGAGATTGACCCACGTATGGTTCTTGAGCTCCAGAAACGATTCCAGGGGACCCCTTACTCCAATCGCCTCACGGTTTGTCTTAGTTCTTTTTTTTTTTTTTTTTTTGAGTAAATACATTTTGGATCCTTAACAAAAAAATACGGAATCTATTTTAATCACTTAGAAAAAAAAGTACTTGTATTAGTTCTTTTTAAGGGATTAACGTGAGTATTTTTTGAATTTAAGAGGGATCACAATTTTAAATAACTGGAATTTAAGAGAGACCACAAATCAATTTTTTTTTTTTTTGTAAGGGATTAAAATGGGTTCAGTGTTTGTGTTTTTTTGTTGAGAACCAAAAGAGTATTTACTCTTTTCTTTTTTTTTGGCATATGAAACAGTGGTGAGAAATATAGAGTAGAAAAAGTAGGAGTCGTCTGTGCTGAAGCCATCTAAATTTAAACTTCAAATAATTACTGTGTATTTGATTCTGGTTGAGAGCTAGGAATTTAAAACCTTCTTGATTGAAATTGAGTTTGAGTCACTGAAAATGGTGTATTTCTATTTGAAGAAAGCTCTCTGGAAATGTTTGTCATTATGTGATTATGCTTTGTTTGTGAAAGGAATTTATATAAAATCTTGAAGTTGTTCCATACTAACTCCTAGCAGGAAATGTTAATTGAATTGAGAAGGGAATGTTTTAAAGTGGTCCTTGGTTTATTGAGGGGTAACTCACCCCCTTTGGGGCTGCTTATGCAGGAAAAAAATAAAAAAATAAATGATAGAGGCAAGATTATACAAGGATCCAATGCAAAGGAATGATGGCTGTAATGTTGTTGTGCTTGTAACCATTTTGTCGTTAGTTGTCTTATTCAGCTTTTGGAAAGAATATGTATCGAATCCTTCATAGTATGGCTGTTTTGGGATGAACTATACCTTGTTTTGAAAGACTTGTGTAATTAACCTCTATAATGCATAATAAACGGCCACGTGTTCACTTGTTTGCTTAGACTAATATGTGGAATATGTGTTCTTGAAGAAGGAATTGTATGGCCAGCAAGCAATTATAAATAAGGTAGTGAGATTGTTGCGTGGTGGAATGATAGATTCGGGTGGCTGAGTGGACAGGCTAAACTTTGTCTTAATAGAACCATGTTTACCTACTTGTTTTGGTTGAAATGCTATAAGTAATATGTGTATGGATGTAAGCAATAACTTTAATATTTTGAGAATTTAATTCTGCCTAGGTTTAGGTTTTTTAAAATAAAAAAAAAGTCGGCTGTAAGACTATGTCCAGTGGACATATACGTATGGCTTATAGTTTGGTAGATGGTAACCACATATGTCTACCTGGCAGGATCGGCTTGGATTATTGAGTCATGAAAAGAACCGTGAATAACTGTAAGAGGCCTCAACAGCATAATTATAAATTAATGGTCTATCATCGGTGGGCAGACGTAAGTTGAAACACCTTCCCTGTTACTAACCATACTTTCTGAGAGGAGACCCCTAAAGGAATTTTGTTGGGCATAGGCTGTCAAGGTCAGGTAAAGTTTCAAGAAAGAAGTCCCTAGGGTATAGGTGTTGGTCTTAACTTAATGGTGTATATTAGTGCTTTAGTTAATCTTTTACTTATGCTTGTATGTGCAAATATTCCTTCTGCTTGTTACGTGAGAAAAACGTTGGACCTGTTTGTGTGGCCACCCTTGATTATGCTATTTAACTAGCTAAATGAATGAAATTATAATTGTGTGCTATGGTGGTATCAATAGACTTTAGTGTGCATAAGACAATTTTTCCCAATGTGCTTGAGACTACAAGGGATAACGTATCGGGTGCACACGCGGTGTTATATCTATAAATATCCCAATTTCCCCAAAGCAAAAGAAATTTTTTCCTTTTCCCGGGGGTATTTTCAACTTATCTTATTATTTTTTATTTTTTTTATGATTACAGGTTATTCAAGGTGATGTGCTGAAGACTGAGCTTCCTTATTTTGACATATGTGTGGCAAACATTCCCTATCAAATATCTTCTCCTCTCACATTCAAGTTACTCAACCATCAACCTGCATTTCGGTGTGCAATTATAATGTTCCAGAGAGAATTTGCTATGAGATTGGTTGCTCAGCCAGGTGATAAACTCTATTGTCGTCTTACGGTGAACACTCAGCTCCATGCTCGAATCTTCCACCTCCTGAAAGTTGGAAGAAACAATTTCAGGCCTCCACCCAAGGTCGATTCCTCTGTAGTACGAATTGAGCCCAGAAAGCCGCGTATTGAAGTTAAGCAGAAGGAGTGGGATGGGTTTTTACGAATTTGTTTTAACAGAAAGAACAAAACACTTGGTTCAATATTTAGGCAAAAGAATGTCATATCTTTGCTTGAAAAGAACTACAAGACTGTGCAAGCATTGAAAATCTCGCAAGAAGGTTCACTGAAGGAAATAGACACTAAAATGGACTTCTCTAGTTTTGGTGACGATCAAGCTATGGAAATGGATGATGATGGAGTAGATGATGATGATGAAATGGAAGTTGAGGATGGGGAAGCAGATCAGGTGCAATCTGAGTTCAAGGACAAGGTTTTAGGTGTTCTTAAAGAGGGAGATTTTGAAGAGAAGAGATCGTCCAAGCTCACGCTGCAAGAGTTCTTGTACCTGCTTTCTCTATTTAACAAAGCTGGCATACACTTTTCCTGATTTTAGATTTATCATTTTCTTATTGTTTCCTTTACTGTTTAAATCTTTAGTATTGGGCTGTTTTACAAGAGAGTGGTATCAGATACAATTGTTCTATACACTAGTTAATCATTTTTTTTTTTTTTTTTGGAGTTACCCAACCCTAATTATCTCTTTGAGACGAGTTGGCTCCCTCCGGTATCCCCACGAGCTTCGACTCTTTGAGCCGGCTATGGGACTAATCCAGAGTGCGGGGGAACAGTGATGGCTAAAGGTTCAGCCCCCTCCCCAAAAATGCATTCAGCGGGAATCGAACACATATCCAACCCCACTAATCCGGAGTGCGGGTGTTAATCATTTTATTTTGTTGAGCTTATTCATGTATGTATATGACCGACTATGGAATTATAGCAGTTTTTACTGTTCTTTTATTGCTTTATGAGGATCTGTATTTGTATCTTTTCTGTATGTGTTAATTTTTGTTCAAATGTCTTGTATGTTAATAAAAAAGGTGATAGTTATCTTTTAACTTTGTCACCGAATAAAAAGTAAATACATTATTAACTTGGCCTATGGGTCAATGATACTGCCTTGCCAAGATAAAAAAATTATGCAATACAGGTCAAATAAACCAACTAAAGAAAATAAGCTCAACAAAGTAAATTTCAACATACAATCAAACTCCTCATGTTTTTCACAATTTGTGGATCCATTTAATTTGACTTTATTTGCTCTACTTGAGCAATTGAAGGTGAAGAAAAAAAAAGGAGTTTTCCCTACACGGTTGTGTTAAAAATTTGGAAGAAATAGTTTTTTTTGGCTTTTACAGTCCTACCCGGCTCGAACTTGATGAACCGGTAGAAAAATTTTCGAAAAAAATACCCACCACTGGAGTTGAGAATAAAATCCTTAAAATTAGAATTTTCTTTTTAAAGATTTGCTACAAGCTCATATGAAAGGTTTGGAGATGAGTTCACTAGAATTAATCCTAAAGGACTATGAAAGAAAGAAAAAAAATCAGTCAATCCTAGAAGGATTTTTGAAACTGTTGTATTAGACTATTAGGAAAAAAAAAATTCAAAGTGTTTAAAAATCCGGCCCGACCATCGATCCGGCTGAGGTCAGGGGTCACAGGTTCAACCGGGGGGTCACGGGGTCACTTTGCTGACCCGGTTTTATATATTAAAAAATATAAATATATATATCCTATATGAAAATATTAAAAAATAAATCACCAATCATCAAAGATTCAAAATATATTTAACATAATTCACCAATTACAACCATAAGTCAATATTACACAACCTAATTAAAGTATCAAGATACCAAACTACAAAACTCATATTCTAACGGGGTCACTACGCTGACCCGGTTCTGTCTCTTTTGAGAAGGTCCCTAAAAAAAGAAAATTTAAAGGAAGTAAGAATGAGTTTTTGTTTTCCATCGACGATCGTAAAGATTTCATTTGAATGGATAAAATTGTTACCTTTTCTAGAAGATTCATGGCAGCGAGGTGAAGATTGAAGATGTCTAGGTTGCTGGGAGAGAAGAGAACGATTAGATTTAGGTTTGCAAGTATTTTTATTTTTTATTTTTAATAAAACGATGTTGTTTCATAGAATTTTTTTTTAAAAAAAAAAACATGCAGTGACCCCCTATGACCCGGGAGTCACTGAAACCTGGCCGAATTTTGGGGGTCAGAGGGGTCGATTGCATATAGAGTCCAACTTGTGACCCCAACCCTCAGAGGAGAGGGGTCAGGATTGACCCGAGTCAACTCGGGAGACGGGGTGGGGTTTTAAAACACTGATTTTGTGTTTTACGTATAACAAATGTCTGACCAAAATATTGCATAATATTTTATTGTATAATATTTTTATAATATTTTATTACATAATATTTTCATTACTCTTAGAAAATTACTTTACGTCCCGGAATTTTTTTATCCAAAAAGCACTTTATAAGATAACATAATATTATCAAACTATTTATCTATTATGCATTAAATGTATATCATTTTCTATTCTTATTTACCATCTTTGTTTTATTCTATCCATCAAATAGAAAATTTCGAATCTCAACATTAGCAATTTTATTTTATTCTATTTTTAAACTAATAAATAAAGAAAGTTTTTGAGAAACAAGAAGCAAACACTGAACCATTAAGGTTCGAATAAGGCACAAATTTAGCATGAGATATTGATTTAGCATTTTGCTCACTACATGACATGCAGTGAAAATATCCAAATCCGTGGCCAACACGCAAAATATTTATTATATTGTAAGAGATAAAATTATTTCTTATACATCATAAAAAGTTTATATAAAAAAAAAGATAAATAAAATAAAATATGAGTTTCACACACTTTTATTTACGTGTATAAAGTTTAAATTATTTTCAATAATATAAAAAACATTAATTCCGTGAAAATAGACCCAAAGTAGTAAGTGAATAGGATGGTACTTGTCTAACGATGGTACTTTCATATTACTCGTTGATATTATATAAAATTTGGAAAAAAAACACTTCTTATATTACATGAGAAGTATTTTCTCATATTATGATTTTTCGATTTGTGTTTAATTTTTTTTTTTAAATAAATATGAAACTCACTACTAATTAAGTCATAACATGAGAAAATAATTCTCATGCCAATATGAGGAAGAGGAGCTTAGGAACATATTTATTTATTGAAAAATATTTTTTACTCAAATGATATAATTTAATGTCATTTTAAGCTAAATAATCATATTTTAATATACATTTATTATCTTTATTATGAAGAGTGTTCTCGGTTGGTCATATAGGATTAGGTAAGCCCAAATAAAGCCTAGATTATAGTTAGGATAATTGGGTAAGGAGTATCTTTTATGCACGGAACTCGGAACGTGTATCCAACCCAAGCATTAGTGGCATAGATGGACCATATCATGATCTCAATAATGGCTTTACCAGTAACTTCCCACCACGATTATAACCATCGATTATGGTATATATAAGAGGGAAAATCCAGTAAGGGACACACACTAGAGAAGATATTAACCTATTAATGTTCGTCCAGAACATTTAGTGCCATTAGTGGGAAAGGTAAAACTATTCCTACCTTTTTCAATGGCTAGTAACAATCGTGAGGAGCGTAGAGTTGAAAATGGTCCTCTCGTTGGAGAAGAAGAAGAAAATTCTTTCCAATCCAATACGAGGAGTCGTTCTTTAAACACAATTGGACAAGCTTTAATCTAGTTGGCAGAAGATATAAGGAATAGACATCATAATGAAGGGAGAAGAATAAGACATCATTCGGAAGAGAGACCAGATCGGGAGAATGTGCAGCATTGCAGAAATTTCAGAAGGGGTTCCCAATCCCCGGTTCCCAGTTATATTTCGTTATCTCATCCTAGGGATCAATGAGATATGGGACAAGAGAATCGTCGGGTGCAACCTTCAAGGGAATCAAGAAGCCCTCCAGAAAGGATGGATAACAGAGGTAGAGGACGAGAGGTGAATCAGAGAAATGAGGAGCGAGTACACCTGGAGCATACTCGTGAGGCGGATAGGAGTTGGCGATATCAGGAAAGAAGGGAGAATGGACAAGAATAAGAAGGCAAACGAGTAGTTTACGAGCAGTAGGATGCTCGGGAAGAAATTCAGCATGAAGTAAGCCGCCAATTTTATGCTCGCCAAGAAGAGGGATGGCGTAATCAAAGGCGGCAGGGTGATGAGTACCAAGGAGGTAGGAGGCCGGAACAAGGAGAGTTACATCATGATCGTCGAGGAGAGCATCCAACAAAGGAACCCGAGTATTATTATGTCTGGGATAGAGAAAATCAAGGAGAAAGAGGAGGCCAGTATCAGTCGGGTAATTAGAGGGATAACCCAGAATATTACCATTATTGGCAAGATCGCCAGGAGGGTTATAGGGCTCAACCTCATGAAGGACAGGTGATGAACGGGTACCAGGAGGACCGTATGCGAATAAGCAAGCATGGATGGCACCATATCAGCCATATTTTCAGCAGGGAGTTCCAGTAATGCCGACTAATCAGGGACCATCGGGAACGCCACTATCACAGAGGCTGAGAGCAGAGATTCCGAGTTGGTTTAAGCAACCTAATGATATGAAAGCATACGACGGAAGTTCAGATCCTAGGGAGTTTGTAACTGTGTTCGAAGCATCAATGTCATTGTGTGGAGAAACAAATTCTCTGTTATGCTGAATGTTTCCTGTTTTTATGAGAAAACAAGCCTTGGAATGGTTTACGGCCTTGCCGAAAAATTTAATTAATAGTTAGGGAGAGTTGGCATTGCGATTTACTTAACAATTTGCTCATTGTGGACCGTAGCCGAAAACTACGCATAATTTATGTGGAGTGAGGCAAAAGCCTGGCGAGAAGTTGGGGGAATATTACGAGCATTTTCAAGTGGAGGCTAGGCAAGTCAGAGGGTTGGAAAATTAGACATATTTGTTGCTATTCACTACCGAGCTGCAACCAGGAGGGTTGGCAAATTCTTTGGCAAAAAAAAGGCTGGCCATTAAAGAAGACTTGTTAGAAAGAACTCAGAAGTATATTGATTTGGAGGAATTTAAAACCTCACAAAAAGAAATTGAATGTGGTTTCCGAGAAGCTACACAAAACAGGATGCCAGATAGACCCGCTGGTAGAGGACAACTGGAAGAGAGGAGACATCGTTTAGTCAGAGAAGGGTTTCGAGAAGCATATAGAAGGGAGTTTACTTCGTTGAATACTTCGAGAGCACAAATTTTGAATGAGGTGATGAGCACGGAGATGAGGAATGTTCCCAGGCCACCGCCTATTGGATCGAGTTGTGCACAAGCAGATAAAACAAAATGGTGCGAGTTCCATAGGTTATATAGCCATTTCACAAATGATTATTTCAATTTCCAGAATGTTATTGAGCAATTGATTAAAGAAGGAAAACTGCAAAAGTATATAAGAAGGGGTGAAAGCAAGGGATGCAGAGAAGGAGAACGTAAGTATAATCGAGCAGATCAAAGCCGCAGCCCGCCAAGAGAAAGAAGGAAAGAAGCGAGCAAAGGCCAGAATGCAGAAACACAGACATCTTCGCCTAGTCATGTACAAGTTGGGCATATATGCACTATTGCCGGAGAGCGAGTTGGAGGAGGAGAATCTAATAATACTCGGAAAAGGCATTTGAAGACATGCATGGCTATTTCGGAGAAGCCCCGTTTTAAAGAAGAAAGGAAGAAGAAGGGCAAGCATATAGTGTTTGAGGATTTGGATGATGAAATCTTGGACCCGGAGCATGATGATCCGTTGGTCATTTCAGGACTATTAGCAAACTATCGCGTTGATAGGATGTTGGTAGATCCTGGGAGCTCAGTAGATATCATATTTTGGGATGCATTCAGGCGGCTAGATTTAGATTGTGATCAACTAGAGCCGTGCGGAGCTGATTTATTGGCTTTAACAGGAGACAAAATTAAGCCATTGGGATATATGCCATTGAAATTAACACTAGGCAAAACGCCTACCCATAAGACAGTAACTTTGTCGTTTGCAGTTGTGGATTTAGGGTCTGTATACAATGTTATTCTAGGCAGGCCGTTTATGGAGAAGTTTAAAATATTTTTGTCTATAGATTAGCTGGCTATGAAATTCGTAGCCAAGGATGGGAACATAGCTACAGTAAGGGCGGATCAGGTGGTTGCTCAGAGTTGTTATAATATAAGTCTGAGGATTCCGCAAGAAAATAAGAAGAAAAAAGGAAAGGTAGAGATAGAAGCCCCACAAGAAGGAATTCAAGTAAATAAAGAGAAGGAGAAGGCTGGTAGGAGAAAAGAAAAGAAAGAACTACAAGTGATGGTAGTAGGATTAGATCCTTGGGTGAAAAGTAAGGGGAAAGACCGGAACCCGCCGGAATGATGGTGGAATTTCAACTCGGATCATTACTAGAGTTAACTACTAGAGTGGGTTCCGAGTTGAATCAGGAGGTGGCAGAGGAGTTAAAGGAGTTGTTGAGAAAGAATGCAGATTTATTTGCTTCGAAACCTTCTGACATGCCGGGGATAGATCTGACTTTATCATGTCATCGATTGTCAGTGATGCCAGGTTCGAAGTCGGTTGCCCAGAAAAAGAGAAGATTTTGCCCATAAAGGAGGAAGGCGATTGAAGAAAAAACAACGGAGTTGTTAGGAAACCAGTTTCATTAGAGAAATAGAGTATGTAACGTGGCTAGCTAACCTGGTACTAATAAAGAAGCTGGATGAGGGATGTGTACTAATTATACTGACTTGAATAAAGTTTGTCCTAAAGATCCTTTTCCACTTCCAAATATTGATCATTTAGGGGATATTGTTTCTGGGTATAATGTCTTATCTTTTATGAACGCTTACTCTGGGTACAATCAGATACCGTTGTGGAAAGAAGATAAAGAAAAAATGTCCTTTATAACAGAGAATGCAGTTTATTGTTACAATATGATGCTGTTTGGGTTGAAAAATGCAAGGGCCACTTACATGAGAATGATGACTAAGGTGTTTAAGGAGAAGATCGACAGGATGTTGGAGGTTTATATGGATGATATGATTGTGAAGTTGGGAGATAGCAGGACACATTTAACCGACTTACAAGAAGTTTTTGGGCAAATTAGGAAGCATAATATGCGGTTGAATCCAACTAAGTGTTCCTTTAGGGTTCCCGCAGGAAGATTTTTGGGATTCTTGTTGACAGAAAGGGGGATTGAGGCCAATCAGATAAATACAAAGCCGTACTGGAAATGCAGAGTCCAGGGAGTATCAGGGAGGTTCAAAAGCTGAATGAGCGAGTAACGGCGTTATCCAGATTCTTGGCAAAGTCAGCCCATGTTTCACTACCATTATTCCAATTGTTAAAGAAGGGAAATAATTTTGCTTGGACGGAGGAGTGTGAAGTCGCTTTTCAGCATTTAAAAAGAATTCTAGCTTCCCCTCCAATCCTCAGCAAGCCGGAACCAGGTGAAGTTTTATTCTTATATTTATCTGTTTCACATGTTTCACAGGAGGCAATTAGCTCGGTCCTTGTCCGAGAAGGAGTAGACGACAACCAAAAGCCGGTGTACTTTATAAGCAAAGTACTGCAAGGGGCAGATGTTCGATATCAACATGTACAAAAAGTGGCGTTGGCATTATTAATAACAGCAAGGAGGCTTCGTCATTATTTTCAGTGTCACCAAGTAGTAGTCAGAACCAATCAGCCTATTAAGCAAATGTTGCAGAAGTCGGACTTAGTAGGGCGGATGGTAGTATGCTCTACTAGGAGCTGAGCTTTTAGAAGTATATAGTGATTCACAGCTGGCGACGTCACAGATAAGTGGAGTTTATCAGGCGAGAGGAGAAGTCATGATTAAGTATTTGGCAAGAGTGCAGGAGTTGATGAAAGATTTCAAAGAAGTCCGAGTAGAGCATATTCGGAGAAATGATAATATTCGGGCTGATGTACTTTCTAAATTAGCAAGTACTAAAGCTATGGGGAATTTGAGGACCATAATGCAGCAGAGCATCCAGGCTCCGAGTGTCGTGTGGATGATATGGGAAGGCAATTGGATGGATCTGATTATAGCTTTCTTGGAGAAAGGAGAATTACCAAAAGATAAGAAGGAAACAATTAAAAGTGAGGAAGAAGGCGACATGATTTGTAATATTAGAAGGGCACTTGTATAGGAGGGGGTTTAACTCGCCGCTGTTGAAGTGTATAACTTCACCAACTACAAAGTATGTGCTAGAAGAAATTCATGAAGGTATCAATGAGCATTATCTCGGAGGGAAGTCTTTAGCATGCAAGGCTATCCGGGAAGGTTTCTTTTGGCCAATGATGGGGGAGGACGCAAAAAGACACGTTCAAAGGTGTGAATAATGTCAAAAATTTTCTAATGTATACAAAGCTCCCTCGGAAAAGTTGTTTACAATTTCTTCTCATTGGCCATTTTATAAGTGGGGAATGGACCTTTTAGGCCCATTTCCCAAAACAGCAGGCAGAGTTAAATATTTGATTGTGGTAGCGGATTACTTTACAAAGTGGATAGAAGCGGAACCCGTGGCAAGTATCACTGCTCGGAAGATCCGAAAGTTCTTTTTTGCGAAATTGTCTGTAGGTTTGGTATACCTGCAATAATTATTACTGATAATGAGACTCAGTTCATAGACAGGAAGTTCTGACAAGCGGTTGCTGAGTTGGGAGTAAAACATCATTTTGCAGCATTAGAGCATCCCAGACGAACGGACAGGTGGAGTTAGCCAACAAAATTTTGACAAATGGCTTAAAAAGGAGAGTAGAGGGGTGCAAGGGAAAATGGTTAGAAGAGTTAGATAACGTGTTGTGGGGGTATAGAACGTCAATCCAGTCTAGCATTCAAGAATCTCCATTCAAGATGACTTATGGATTTGATGCGATGTTACCAGTAGAAGCCAGAGAACCATAATGGCCGAATGAGGTAGAAAAAAGAAGAAGAAAGATCAGCGAAATGATGAGAGTATAGAAACTGAGAAAATGAAGAGTTTAAAAGAAGGAAGCATAAAGGTGAACGGACGTTTCGAATTTCGAAACGAAATGATTGAAAAATGTCAAATCGCGTCGTTTGGGAAAATCGAGACCAATAAAAAAAGTTTAGCTGGCAAGAATAGGCTGAGGAGGCAAGAAACATTTAACGATAGTACCGCTAAAGTAATATTATTTGCCACTAGATAAGACCAACCCATATTATTAATTCGGAGTATTATAGGAATTACACTATGAGCTTTGGGGCTTAATGTTTTGGGTTGGTCATATGGGTTTAGGTAAGCCTAAATAAAGCCTAGATTAAAGTTAGGATAACTGGGTAAGGAGTATCATTTATGCACGAAACCCAGACAAGGAGCCCAGAACGTGCCTGCAACCCAAGCATTAGTGGCATAGATGGACCTTACCACGATCTCAATAATGATATTATCAGTAACTGCCCATCACGATTATAACCGTCGATTAAGAGGGAACAACCCAGTAAGGGACACACACTAGAGAAGAGATTAACCCATTAATGTTCGTCCAGAACAAAGAGAAAAGTATATACTAAAACATGATTATTTCACTTTAAATAATAACATATGCTTTTTCCTTATTTAATATTTATAAAATAAGAGAAAAGTGTTTGTCATTTTAAATTACATAAAATTATGTCATTTTAAGAGAGAGATAGACACAAAAAAATATTTTTTTATTTAAAATTTAAATTAAAAAAAAACCATCCACTTTCACCCCCATGATTTTCATTCCTTGTAGACATCTATCTCTTAAAATGACATAACCTATGTTATTTAAAATGACAAACACCAAACCCATAAAACAAATAAATATAAACTTTTCATATAATATAAAAAGAAGGGAAATAATTATCTCATGCAATAGAGACAAAGTAGTGGGGTCCATTATTTTTTATTTATTTTTTTAAAATTAATGGATTCTACTATCGTGTCTTTGTTGAATGAGATAATTATCTGATGCAACATGAGATAAATAAATCCCATAAAAGAATGGATATGTACCAAAAAGAAAAAGAAAAAAATGGATTCTCGTTAGAGAAAAGTGTGTGTCATTTTAAAAGATGTAAAATTATGTCATTTTAAATGAGAAAAAAAAATAGATAAAAGAGAAAAAAAAGAGTGGAAAAATAAAATAAAATGAATCGCACGGTAAAAACACTTCTCCATATTCACGTTACTGTTAAAAAGCCGTGACTTTTTGTACATTGGGCAATGGGATTGGGCACACACTGTGGATGCACAACTATACATCTAAATCTAATCTAAACCCTCCCTCCTCGTCCGCTTCATTACTCCTCTCTCTATTTAAAATAAAAGAAAAAGAAAAACCACGCGAATTTGCAGTTTCTCGAACCATGGGTTCGCTCGAGACACCGACCAGTGCGGAAAACGGTTCCTCTATAACCGCCGGCAACGGAAAATCTTCCGGCGACGGAGGCGCCCGGGTCCATCAGGCGGTTACGGCGCAGGAGCCTGACGTATCGAAGCGACGGAGATCGTCGGTGCTCCCCTTAGAGGTTGGGACGCGTGTGATGTGCCGTTGGAGGGACGGGAAGTATCACCCTGTCAAAGTCATAGAACGCCGCAAGGGGAACGTCTCTGGCCCCAACGATTACGAGTATTATGTCCATTACACTGAGTGTAAGAACCCTCAATCTTTCTTTCTTTTTTCTTTGTTCTTGCTCAATTTGAATGAGTGAATGAATGGTTAGGGTTCGGTGTGTTGTAGTTTTCTAGAATTGGTTGGATTATGTATTGATTTGATTGTGGGTTTGTTAGTATGCTATTGATTTCGTAAAGTGCTAGAATACTATGATATCCGTTTATTTATGTAGTCTTTAATATATTATCACGAATAGGGTTCACTGTGCATCTGTTGCAGGATCAGTGATAATACTACTAGTGATGCTTGCTAATATTTTGGACTTTTGTGAATCGTTATTGTAAATATAAGGATGTGTGGATGAATTTTTGATTTTGTTGGTAATATTTTTATATTTGGATAAACAAAATGTTGAAATCACCGTTGTCTTGTTTCAAACATGATCCTTTAATATATCATCATTCTTCTATTTTAAAAGTTGTTATGTTTCTCTTATATCTATTTTAGTATTTGTAGGGGGCAAAACATAGGGATATATTATTCTTTCTGACCAAGAAATAGGCGTAAGATAATGGCAGTGGTAAGTAACATTTTAATTTATTCTTATTAGTTAATGGAAAAAAATAAATAAATAAACTTTCACTTTTATTGGTATTTTTTTGTTTTTCTTTTTTTCCTCATCATGTTACCATTGTTTATGTATTTGTACATTCGTAATTCCTTTCTATATTATTTTTTCTAATTGTCAGTTTATGTCAATGTTTTTGCTAAGTTGAATGGTCTATCGTAGGCAGGGATGCTAACTGCTTAATCTTCTGTTATTACTTTTTACTTTTTGGCAGTTAATAGGAGGCTTGATGAGTGGGTGAAGCTTGAGCAGCTTGATCTTGATTCCGTGGAGGCTGTTGTTGATGAGAAAGTGGAAGAGAAGGTAATGATTATTTCTTCTCGAAATTGCTTTGCAGCATTTGTTACCCGAACTATTTCTGTTTTGAAAGATAATAGAGGTTTTCTGATAAAGTGTTAATTTAGTCCAGACATCTGTATTCTGTATGTTGTTCTGCATAAACATCAACAAAAGCCTTTTCCCACTTGGTGTAGTCAGCTACATGGATCATATGATGCTATTGTTTTATGCGAAAAACTTAGTTTTCAGATATCTGTTCTAAGTAAAAATATTTTTTTTTTCATTTGTTTCTCTTTTGGGTGGTGTGGTTGTAGATAGAAAAGAGTTCTTATGTCCTAAGAACTTGTAGTCACGTGTTTTTTGGTGACCTGGAACGTGTAGTCACTTGCTGTTACGGGCGTGGCTAGGAAGGATAATCCAAGCGAGTCCAAAGTATGGAAAGTTTATTGAAGGAGACAAAAGAGTTAGTTAGGAAAAAGTCAAAGTGTAGTTAGTGAGTGAGTGAATAGTTCATGTGTATAAATAAATGAAGTCGTCTCATTTGAGGGATATTCAGCTTTGTTTCTAATTGACCATTGAGAGTGCTCAGTAGGTGTGAAGGGAAAATCCCCTTGGAAGAGTCATTTGTTCTGTAACCCATTTTGTTCATATCAATAGAAACCCAGATTGCCCTCTGTTCTGTTTGTTGCTCTGCATCATCTCTGTTGGTAACACTTGCACTGCCCATTCTTCATTTTAACGTCATAAGTGGTGGGTTCTTTCTCTATTATGTATAACTATTCTTTCAAAATACACATTTTTTTATGACTCAACTCATTTAGAAAATTGCACTTGTGATTTCCCAGGGGGCAACAGGTCTGAAGATGACACGTCACCAAAAAAGGAAGATTGATGAGACACATGTAGAGGTATTGAATGGTTATTTTTCAATTATAAATTGGTCACAGGTTGTTAGACATAAACACAAGACAAACCAAAAAAAAACCTACTAGACTTTATAACCTTTGTCTCTCTTCAAGGGTTCAAATAGCACCTACTCACACATGTTCTTCAAGGGTGAGTAGGTGCTATTTGAACCTAAGGTAATTGGCAACTTGGTATGAATGCTATAAGTTGATAATTTTTGCACTGACACAAATATTTGTTCTCTCTGCTCTCATTGAATAACTTCTTGTCAGTACTTGAGTGCTATTTTAAAATGGCATATTGAGACACTTCGCGTGTAGGGGCTTCCAAAACAATAAACCTGTTTACTTACCAATAGTTTTGGATCATGAGGCTGAAGTCAGAGGAAACATGTAATTGTGATATTCTTGTGTTGGAGTTTGATGCTGATAATTGCTTTCTTGAGTGTGAAACCAGGACACTCTATGGACTGTTCAAATTATTCCTTCCTCAAGCTGAACTTTGTTCCTTTTAAATTTATGTGTATTATTAAATTGTAGGGCCATGAGGAGCTTGATGCTGCCAGTTTGCGAGAACATGAGGAATTTACAAAAGTGAAAAATATAGCTACTATTGAACTTGGAAGATATGAGATTGAGACATGGTACTTCTCCCCATTCCCACCAGAATACAATGACTGTTTGAAGCTGTACTTTTGTGAGTTTTGCCTCAATTTCATGAAGCGCAAAGAACAGCTTCAGAGGCATATGGTGAGCTGTGCTTGAAATAATCCTTTTTCCCTTTATTTTTCTTTGTTCTGGAAAGTGGATATTTTCTTGTGTGCTATCCTTGTTTAAAGATGATTGTACATCTGATTAATGTCTTGCAATTTGCATGCATTGCTCTTATTGTTTCTTCTGTCATTTTGTAGTTTGCTCTAATTGGTTTTTGTAATTTGTGTTGTGATTTTTGTAAATTTATTTGTTAAATTCTAGTTTGATCATATCTTAGAGAATTTAATCATATCTTATGTGTGAAGTTGTTTCCTTGCAATTCTAAAATGTATTTCGTTGAAATTTTTATATTTTGATACTACTTATTATCTTGTGTAATGATGCAACAACAATGATGGAACCTAATTTTATTAATTTGAAATTGATGAAAACAGAAATGGAGACAAGCTCCTTACAAAGATTAAATGCAGAAAAATACACCAAAATACCCCAACTCACCCTCAAAGCCAACAAACCTAGGCTTCAAGAGATCCCAAGAGATCCCCAAATTCTCCACTATTCACTTAATACATGCCTACCTCACTCCACACACTCCTACTCCTTTTATCCTATTCTCTAAGAACCGTCTAGAAGAATTTCCTAACTAACTCTCTCACTTTAAGGCCCATCAATACTTTCCCTCCAAAGCTCACCTTGTCCTCAAGGTGAAGAAAGAGGATAGGTGATGTGCGAGAACTTCTACCGGGGTCCCATTGTTTGAAGCATATTGACATGTTTATGCTTGAGGCTGAAGATTCCCAAATGGATCCCACTGCACCATTGGAATTTTTTATGTCTTTGTTGTCCTCTAATGCTTTGTCCTCTGTCAATTCTGGTCACGAAACATTCTCGGAACTCTCCCAGATTTTCTAGCCACTTAACCCCCACAATGGCATCTATTCTACTGAGATTAAGAATGAAGAATTCTTGCACTACTGGTAATTCAGATAAATTCAACATTACCTTCTTACAGATACCCACATTTTGCACTCGTTGCCCCTCTTCAACCTCTACAGTGTATATCATGGAATAATCTACTGCCAAATTCAGTTCCTCCGCGACTCTTCTCACCAAGGAATTATGGGAAGTCCCAGAATAGATCAAAACTACCATGTTACTCTCTCTAGTTTCGCTCGAAAGCTTCAGCGACTTGTGTGATGTGATGCCTACTATACTTTTGACACTCAAATGGAGTGCTGTGTTTTCCCGCTCACCCTCCCCTTCGCATATCATCTCTTCTGGTTCTGGCGCGCCGTCACCCATTCCTAAAAGCATAACTTGCAATTGAGGATTTGGACAAACATGACTAGGAAAAAAGGGCCATCACAACGACACCCGCAGTTATGTTGTCGTCTACCATTGAGCTTTTTTTGCTTCAGAAGATGATACCTGCTCCAACCTCCGTCCTTCACGTTGGGGTTTCTATTATTCGAAGAACTTCCTTCTTTCATCATACTGAGTCCCTTTTTATTTTGCTTAGTACTTCCCAAATGAGAACTACCTCCTTGCTCCCCTGTTTGAGAGACACTTTGCGGGCTGTTTATATTAGGCCCGTTATTCCCATTAGTTATTTGTAAGCCCAGTCCACAACGCACATCAGCATTTCCCATGTTGGGTCTTGCGTTAGCATTTGTTTGGACCTGGCTTGTGGTCGAAGCTGGGTATGCACAGGATATGTCCCCAAAATCCATTTTGTTGCTGGTTCGGCCTCTATTTGAGACCTGACCCATCTCCTTATTTTCTCTCGGTCTGCATCTTCTTTTTCTTCCCGTTTTGCATCATCTTCGTCTTCCGCTTCTGTGTCATCTTCTTCTTCTGCTTTTTCTTTTGCTCCTTCTTCATCTTCTTGCACTTCTCCTTCTCCTTTTTCTCCAATTTCTTCTGCATCTTCATTTATGTTTCAATCTGCTTCTGCTTCTTCGTTTCTTGCGCGTCCTGCAGTTTCCTTTTCTTCATTGATTTCTTTTTTCTTCCTTCTGCTTTTCCTTATTCTTTCTCTGGTTCTTCATGTTTTTTTTCTTTTTTCTTCTTTTTTAATTTCTTCTTCTGCTCTTTCTACGTTTCCTTCTTCTAATCATGCCTCTTTCTCTTTTTTTTCTTCTTTCCCTGTTGCTGCATTTTCTTTCTCTCTTTCTTTTTTTATCTTCGACTTTTTTAGAACTCTGTCTTCTCTAATGCCTCATCTATAATTTTTGCCATTTTCATGAACATTTTCCTAAGCTCAAAATCTCTGATTCCTCCCATGGTTTTCATTTACCAGAAGTACCTCCAGATCGAAGATGCTCTGATACCAAATTGATGGAACCTAATTTTATTAATCTGAAATTGATGAAAACAGAAATGGAGACAAGTTCCTTACAAAGATTAAATGCAGAAAAATACACCAAAAGACCCCAACTCACCCTCAAAGCCAACAAACCTTCGCTTCAAGAGATCCCCAAATTCTCCACTATTCACTTAATACATGCCTACTTCACTCCACACACTCCCACTCCTTTTATCCTATTCTCTAAGAACCTTCTAGAAGAATTTCCTAACTAACTCTCTCACTTTAAGGCCCATCAAACAGCAACCAATACCTATCCCACTAGGTGGGGTTGGCTACATGGATCAATTGACGACATTGAATTGTATCAAAAACCGAAGATAATCTTGTGTTCTTTTTATCATTCTATTTTAGGCTATGTTTGTTTTGGTGGAAGAGATGAAATGAAGAGGTATGGAGCGAAATACCATAATTTACCATTGTTTGGATTTCATAAAATTGGAAGGAATGAAACGGAACATGATGAAGTCTGTTACATCTCAGTGCATCCAATATTTTCAATTTTATTTGCTCCAATGTTGGGGTTATGGGATAATTCCACTCTACTAAAGTTATAACTCTTACAATTCCATCCATTTCCCAAACAATGGAATCAAACCTACGCCGTTCAACATCAATATCAACAATATCTTTATCCCAAATTAGTTGGGATCAGCTGTCGATGAACCCAAATGAAAAATAAGAAAACATTGAGGGAAAAGTAAGGGAAAAATAAATAAATAAATTAAAATTGAAAATTAAAAAAGAAAAATCCAATAAAATAGAATAAAAATAAAGTGAAAATGAAGATAGATAAGAGAAAAAAATAGAAACAATACATAGTAATAATAAAAATAGATAAATAAAAGGAAAAAATAAAATAGAGCGGAAAATAATTAGATAAATAACTAAATAAATAAAAGAAAATATAGGGAAAAAGGACTAAACAAGGACGGTCTATAACATGGGAAGAAAAACGGGTTTACCCTTCAACAATGCTAATAATTTTCCTCTAAACTGTCCGAAGACATACTGTCTGCCTATGATGCACGGACACGTACACGGGACACGACACGCCGACACGTTAATTCTAAAAAATGTCATATTTGGACACGTTGGGACACGTTTTGATATTAAATAAAATTTTTAATATATATAATATGATTTATATTTAATACATATAAGAGTCCATAATAAGTCATATAACCAATTAAATATTTAAATTTCATAACATAAATATAAATATAAATAATTTTTCGTAGTTTGTTAATTTTTAATGTCAAATTTTATAACAGAAAAAAATTAATTTATAAATTATTTCTTTTATATTTAGTTAACAAAATAAAATTAAGATTTAAAAAAATTAAAAAAAAACAAAAAAAAATGTGTCCGAGCGTGTCCCCAAATATTGACCGCGTGTCCCCAAATGTTGACCGCGTGTCCGAGCTTGTCCGTGTCGGACACGTGTCCGACACGTAAATTTCAAAAAAATTCACGTGTCCGTGTAACGGAGCTGTCTGCCAATCTAATTCTCAATCAATTAAGTCTTGTTTTATTATTTTCCCCAAAGTAAGTTTTGACCGACCTCTTCTTTTTCTTGTGTCAAGATCTTGGTAACAAACTTTTGGTACTTATGAGAGAATTTAATGGGTCTGCGCATTATATGTCCCAACTATCTCAATGTATGTTTTCTTATCTTTTCAGCCACTTGTACTACTCCTATTCGTTCCATCATAAATTTTGCAAACAACAATAAGGTAATATTATTCCATTTAATCCCATCCCGTTCCATCCTTTACCATTCCAACCATCATTTGAGATACAGATGTAGCCTCATTTTTTTTTTTAAATGCATTGTATATTTCTTTGATCCAACGACCCTTGGTTTTGCTTCTATAAATTGTTTGGATTGTAATTCTTTTTTTCAAACAAAATTAAGGCAATAAACTTATGAATGGAGAAAAAATTGTTTTTCTCTATAAATTTTACCATTATCAATTTTACCACTGTTGTCCTCCTTATTGCCCCTGTATGACTGTGTTTATACTGAGCACAATCTGTATGTATCATGCTGGTACTTCGTTGCAGTTCTATCTGTTGTAGCATTGTATGGGATTCCAAACAACATGCTGCCATTTTCATTGTGACTCGACAATCGATTAGTCATCCTTAAATTTTATTGTTGCTTTTGTTTAACTGAAAATGAGGCTTTCTGGTTGAAACAAATTCATTATTTGTTTGACCACTAGGCGGTTGATAAAAGGCTACAAAGTCATATGAATTAGTCTATTAAAGTTTATAGACTAAATGTACATGCTGTTTTCAGCCTATTGTACCAACATTGGCTTCGTGTTTATGCAGAGAAAATGTGATCTTAAGCATCCCCCTGGTGATGAGATATATAGAAGTGGTACGCTGTCAATGTTTGAGGTACATTTTTAACGCCATTGTTCTTGTTATTAAAGTTCCTCATTTAATTTTGTATTTTTCTTTGTTGTCAATCATCACTCTGACACCCTCTGGTTAAATTTTTGGAGGTCGATATGAATTCTCTATTTCGAGTCTCACATATCTTAAAATTATCATGTCTAATGTAATCCTGGTCTATGGATTAAAAAAAATCTTTTTTGTTGACTTGTTAGCTGATGCAATTTACTACATTTACTGAATAAATGGTTGTGCTGCGTTTATTTGGTGTTCAGGTACAAAGTGTTAGTAATAGGCCCAATATTAGGAAGGTGTATTTGAGGAGAAATAAGGTGTATTTGTTATTGATTGATAGTTATATATATAGATAAGAGGTACTTCATGTCACTGGATATTGTTAGATACAACAGTTAGGATTTCCTGATATTGGAGGATATTTCTCTAAATGGGTAGCAGTTAGGATATCAGGAGAAAGCGGAGAGATTATTGAGTGGTAACAGTTAAGTTTGTGAGAACGACCAGGCTCTCAAATTCCTGGGGGACAACCACTTGTAGTCATTCCTTCTCTTCTTAACAAATACAGATGGAAAGTTGAGGTGAGTGTGAAGGGGGAAAATTGGAGAGATTCTTGACAAATTCAAACTCTGAGGGAGTGGGAAATTTTGAGGAATAATTTAGGTAAGTTTAAGAATTAAATAAGTCAATTAACTTAGGGCTCTCATTCGATATCATTTTGTAACCATTGATTTGATTTTGATTTGATTTTGATCCAATGATAAAGAAATTGATTGTAAAGTAAAATAGGTTGTAAATATAACCCCTCTCTATCTTATTAGTAAAAAGTTTTAGAGAAATATAATATGTAAAGCCATTAATTTCAGTACAATAAGCAAGAAAGTCTTGGAAACATTTTGTAAATTAACATTTAGAAAAGCCAAACCGCAAAAAGACTAAAGCAGGAATGATTGACTTCCAAATGTTATTCTTTTCTCATTAATCAATGGAGGCAGTGGCAAAAACGTAACGTGAAACATAGAATAGGCCATGAAGAAAACAATAGTAGTGTGAATGGGAGTTGAGAGTGCATGATGTCACTTTCCTAAGAATTTTCCTATTTCCAAACTCTTTTCTCTCTCAAAAGTTTGAACGCAATTTCATCTTCCCTCCTCTTCTCCATCTCAAAACCCTAACTCCCAAACTCCACTAAATCTTTTTGGTAGTTTATAATCTGAGGTTTGAGCCTAAATTTTCTCCCAAAATTTTAGTCTAAAAAATTCAACCCTTTTCATCTTTGTTTCAAAACCCTAATTTAACTTCCCATTTTCAAATTCCATATGCTCATTACTCTTTGCACTCACTGAAGACGTAGTAGAGGACCAAATGGATGCTCGTTTGGCTCCAAACCCACTTTTTGAAACCCTAGATGCCTCTCAATTGGTCCCATCATCCGCTAATCTAAATGGGCTTGACTTTCTTTTGTTGAGGCATCTGTTGCCAACGGCATTTTTGCTGACATTTTCGATAAGGAAGCTCAACAAGAAAACCCTGGCCAATCTTCCCCCTTTCGGCAACTCATCAATGATTCGCCCTCTCCATGGTTGTTGTTGGCTTCCAACGAGCGTCGTTCTTGGCAATTGTCACGAGTTTCCATTGTTGCACTGAATTTGTGGGATCCGGAGCATGCTTCCGAAGGGAACTAGCTGTTCTTTGAAGATAACGGGGCACCTTCTAATAATGAAATTTCTGCCTCCGCAGTTGTACCTTTTGGGGTGGGAGCTGGGCTTTCAAATCTTGGCAATACTTGCTTTCATAATGCTGTCCATTGGTGGGAATTTTTGTTTTCTTCATGGCCTATTATGTGTTGCATATTATGTTTCTACTACTACCTTTCTTACTCAAGGATGAATCTGTCTTTTTTCTCTTCTTGTCTGAGCAAGCCTCACGATGTAAATCAACTAACTCCAAAAATACCTCTCTCCTTGAACCAGGCATCTTGTTGACATATCTCATGACTCCTCGTCTCTTGGAATCCCCCGTAAACTCATTTGATGATCTTTTATAGCTCTCGTGATTCTCCATCTTCAAATGATCACGTGATGAGAAAACTTTTATCGAGAGCATAGGTAGAAGGGGGTTGGGAAGAGTTAAAGCATGGAAATCATCATTCTCTCCAAAATCAACAACTTCCTAACAACATTTGACTTGAGACCACCACTCAATATAAGTCGAACATGGCACTACCATTCAAGATGGCATTATTTCCGAGTAGCACTTGGGCTTGGATAGCTTTAGAGCCATTGAAATCAACACTTTCTTGATTTGACCCAAAGGGAAATTGTCCGAAGCCGTGAGAAGCATCATTTGAGTCATTGATTAGAAGAAGCTCGTGTCTTTCTTGATGAGAATAATCATTCTACTGGTTCGAAAATTCTTTGGATTCACTAGCCTCACCCCTTACAATATTTGAAATTAAAATTGGATTTGGTTTATACATGGTGTTGAAAATGTCTTAAACTGACCTAGGAGATGTATTCAAAATACTAGGACTCACACATGGTGTTTGAGATTTTTGTTATGAACTTTGGGATATCCCTTCAAATTGTTTGTTATCATTAGCAACGTTATGTTCTTCCCATGCAGAAGGTGATCTAAGAGCTTCGGGTGTTTAACTATACAATTTGGCAGGCGGTATTGACAAATTTTAGCAAAAAAGACCATTGGATTTTTACTAAAAAGAATAAGTACAGTCCCAAATGCTTAAAGCGGAAGACTCTTCATTGAAATTCCAGCCATCACTGACTGGTTTTTGCAAGCCATAAGAAGGTTGCCATAATGGTTACATGTTCGATCCTTGCCGCCTCCATTCTATCAATACATAATTAAATATTGTGGAGTTTTTTTGGCACAAGTAGGTGGGCCTATATATCATCTACCCTTCAAACCAAATGAGCTTTTGTGTGAGGGTGCATGTTAGAGAAATGTAATATATAAAACTATTACCATACCTAATAGTATAATTCTTTGGATTGAATAGATTATTTACAAAAAAAATATATAAAATTTATTATTATATATTGTTCAACAAGGGATATGTCTACTTATTTCTCTCCACATCGTTAGATCACAATCTCAACCAACAGTGAAAGTGGTGGGAGTTAGAAAGAGTTGGTTGAGATTGTGATTTATCGGTGGATAGAGAAGTAGATAAAGTAGGTATGAAAAAAGATAGGCATAACATCCTATACTATACACTAATATGGATAATTTGATATAATTTGTGTCAAGTCTTAAAAACTCAAACCACAGCTATTGCAATCCTTTCCAACAGCAAAAACTGCAACTGCTACCATGACTGCAATTTAAAACCTTGCTTATCATTAACGGGTATTTTGAGGGCATTTCCATTTCTGAGATGTACATAGATTGTCCTGCTTTGCTGCATTTATTGCATATTTTATTGCTTGTACTCTGTTTTCTCTGTTTTAGATGGTTTATCATCCTCCTTTCTATCTAGAATTCATTTTGAAAGCCATTGGATCCCCCTTGCCCCAATTCCTTTGGCTCCAATTATTGCTTAACGTGCATCATCTCTCTAATGGTATAAATTATTTTTATTCTTATAGTTTATCTTTAAAAAAAAAAACATCTTGTACAAGTTTTGAATAAAATAAAAATGATTTTAGGGTATGCTTAGCTACAAATCTCAAATTTTTGAAATTATTTCTATTTACAAATTCTGATAGTTCAGTGATAACTAAATTTTGAGAACGTTGTGTTATCTCATATCTGGGAGGAAGTTGCAAGTTGGAACAGTGATATAAATATTATTTATTATTGATTATTATGATAGTTTGAATTGTTGTTGCTATTAATTATTATTATTTGTCTGCAAACAGGTTGATGGAAAAAAGAACAAGGTTTATGGGCAGAATCTTTGTTATTTGGCAAAGTTATTTCTTGATCACAAGACCCTGTATTACGACGTTGATCTGTTTCTGTTCTATGTTTTGTGTGAATGTGACGATCGAGGATGTCACATGGTTGGCTATTTCTCCAAGGTTATTACTGTGCTTTTATTATTTTGGTTCGGCATGAGAAATTTCTAATTTTTACATTTTACTACGAACAATCCTGTATAACTTTTGTTTCTGTTCTGAAAGGGCTACAACAAACTGCCTTTAAAGGAGCAGGACTATTTATCATGCTTATTATTATTATTATTATTATTATTTTTCATTCATGAGCCGCTAGTTTGGAAGGAGCTAAGATTATGAAGTTTATTAACAGATCTTAATGTTAGTTGTAATATGAAAAACGAACTTTGTTAATTTAAATATCTTGAATCTCTTTACTTTTATTTCTTATCATACTTATTTATTCATTATTTGGTTTACATTATGAAATTGATTACTTTTTTTTATCATAAAGGAAAAACATTCTGAGGAATCTTACAATTTGGCATGTATCCTCACCTTGCCACCTTACCAAAGGAAAGGCTATGGGAAATTTCTAATTGCTTTCTGTAAGAGATCTCTCTCTCTCTCTGGAAAATGGGTCTCTTTGTATTTGTTATAGTTATATATGATAATGTGAGCAAAATTCATTATAATTTCAAACATCGAACAGCATATGAACTTTCCAAGAAGGAGGGCAAAGTTGGGACACCTGAAAGACCCCTTTCAGACCTTGGACTGCTAAGCTACCGAGGATATTGGACCAGGGTTCTCTTAGACATTCTGAAAAAGCATAAGGGCAATATTTCTATCAAGGTAAGTCCCTCCTTGTTTCTTTCTATTAATGTTTCTAAAGTAATGGCGAATTCAAGTTTGTCTGCTTAAAAATAAAGTTATTCGATTTTTTGGTCAATTTTGAACTTAATTGTTATGTGGATCAATATGGATTTTGATTATTATTAGGATTTTAATTATTGGGATATCGTTTATCCAATTGGGTCCTTGTTTTTTTATATATATCGCATAGAAGAAAGTCTATTAGAGGTAAGAAAAAGATCTAGGAAGAGAATGAGAAATCCTCCTCAAAAGATGTGCAAAAGAGAACAAAAGACTGACAAACACGCTAATCAAAAGAGCACTCTAATCCCTTTGCATATATTCCCGCGTAAAGAGATTGTGCACTTAGCTTTAAAGAGGGGCCAAATTGATGAATGACAATCTTGTCCCAAAGCAGATTTGCGGGCTGAAAAGAATTCTTAAAATACGAGCATTTCTCAAGCAAACTACTCGAAAGAACAGCATGCATAGCACATTGCTAAATAAACTTCCCCTCTCCGGTGTTGTCAAAATCCCTTAAGTTAATAATAAGAAACTTACCTAGATTAAGAGGTTGATTCACCAAACACCTCAAAAAGTCTATTCTCGATGGATCTAGGGCAGTGTTAATGAAAGGTGAATTGTTTCAGAGCTAGAACTATGCATGGCATGTCAGGAGAGATCGTGTTGTGGGGTTTCCTATAGTGTATCATTACTATTGATCTTATTGAGAGTCGCCATCTAACTTAGCCTTCGAGGGAGCTTGCTTTGGATTTGAATGGGTTTTATCAAGGAGAAATATATCTCTATTCGAAGATGTTGGGTTAAAAAAAGTGAAAGCAGGACATGAAAATGAACCAAGAGGTATTAAGAGTTCAATCTCTTCTATCCAAGTAAAGGAATAACTGAAAATGATTCTAGCATCAGAAAGAGGGGCTGCAATTCTGCTGCTTCTTTGTCTTGATTCCTAACGTTGTTGTTATTCTAAGTGATTTATAAGCATTGTGTGGGACCTGATGAAGAGAAGAAAGGTTATAAAGGGTGGGGAAATCCTTATAAGGCATAAGTGATATCAAACATGAGAATCTTTTATTTTTCTTTTAACCATAATCATTTTTTATTTTCTTTAAGAGAAGGTTATACTTATGACTTTTTTTTTCCTTATAATCTCTTACAATTATCTTTCTTATCGTTGGATCAAAATTAAATCAACAATTATAAAATGATTTTAAATAAAAGCCGTTAATTTGATTTTGATTTTACAGTAATAACAAAGTGATTGTAAGAAGTTATAATGAAAAAAGTATCAAGTATTACCTACCAGTTCTTTCATACCAAACTATCCTAGGATTTTTATTTTTATTTTCTGTAAAAATCTTTTTAAGCATTTGTAATGGCTTGTTATGAACATGGTCTCTTATTTAGTTTCTCATATTAAGGGATTTTTTTAAAATATTAAAAACTGCTTTTTTGCAGGAGCTGAGTGATATGACTGCCATTAAAGCTGAAGATATATTGACCACTCTTCAAAGCCTGGAATTGATTCAGTACAGGAAAGGACAGCATGTTATTTGCGCAGATCCAAAAGTTTTGGATCGCCATCTTAAAGCTGCTGGGAGAGGGGGTCTGGAGGTTGATGTTAGCAAATTGATCTGGACTCCTTATAAAGAACAAAGTTGATGGTCATATCCATCTACAAAGGAATACTATGATATAGTTTGTGTATAGAGCCTAGGCTAGGTTTCTTAGTTGTCAACATTACTCCTTTGATGTATGTGTATTAACAGATATGGTTTAGTACATCTTGGATGAGAATAGGAGCATAACTGATTGTTTAATGTGCTCAACCTTTGCTCTCTGTATTAAGTATATCTTCGTTTCTAATGATGAATGCCCCCTAGGAAAGATTTTTTATTCATGGATTGTTAGAATATTAGATATGATATGATTAGATTTGATTAGATATGATTGGATTCTGTCTTATCCGTAAATAGTCTGACTGTATTCTGACTGTATTAGGATTAGGTTTGGGCCTTACACTTAAGCCCATTAGGGTCTCTATATATTGTAACTCCCTGACACAGATCAATACACAACGTATTCTTTTACATTTAACTTGGTACCAGAGCTATTTCGTTCTGGGAACCCTCGCTTCCGCTTAGAAATCTTGTTCTTCGCTTTAAAACCTAAGCCCACTGCTTAGGAGTCATCTTTTCTTTGCCGTGCGTCCTTCCGGTAAGATATCAAAGGCTGTAAGTCCTCTCCAGGCATCTTCTGCACGTGTCCACAGTCACCGGAGCACCATCAGCCACCGTCAGCCACTGTTCAGGCTGCCGGAGTACTTTTCCGGCGAGTTTTCAGTCTGGAACGAACGCGAACAGAACCCTCTCCTCCCGGCGACCTGCTCTGTGGAAGTCCGGCCACCATCGGAGTTGTCACGCGCTCTCACGCGCCTCCAGTCTTCTCTGCGCGTGGGCTTCACGCGCCACCTTCTGCCGGCGCGTGAGCACTATTCCGGCATCTTTTTCCGGCCGGTCTTCGACAGAGAAGCTCGTCTTCTCCTCCTCTTTCTGGATCTGTGGTTGGTTCTTTGTGGGTCCGACTTTTTGTGCGCACCTCTTCTTGATTGGTGATCAGGTTCGTTTCTCTTTATTCGGTTTGTATCTTTGTGATTTGATATGGCAGCAAACCCTCCAATTCATTCGGAGGTCAAGTCTTCATCTCCTCCTTTGAGAAATTCTCCCAATATCATCTCTACCAATATTGGGTCCATTACCTCTTCAAAATTGAAGGGATCTGTTAATTACAAGAACTGGGCCACCTCTGTTCGAGTTTGGTTCTTTGGACAAGGATATGGGAACCATCTCACAACTAAGTCTACTGATGTCCCTAAGGAGGACAAGTCTGATTGGGAAAAGATTGACAACCAACTTCTGAGTATCCTCTGGCAATCCATTGATCCGATTGTCTTGGATATCTTTTATTCATTTCAAACTTGCACTGAAGTGTGGGAGGAAGCAAAAAACCTCTACACTAATGATGTTCAGCAGCTCTATTTCATCATCTCTCAGTTTATGGAATTGAGCAAATCATCCGACATTCAGATGGAGATATATATTGGCAAGAGTCGCTCTTTGATGCAGGCATATTTGGATATGCTGCCTTACCCTACTGATGCTACTGCATATCGGAAACAGGTGGAACGTCTCTTTATGGTTGCCACACTTTCTGGCCTTCCCGAAGAATATGATAATGTTCGTGATACTATCTTGACTAGTGGGGAGCCTGATCTATTCATGACGTATCAGCGTCTTCTGAATTTGAATAAGAAATCTGCTCCTGCATCGTCTTCTGCTGTTGATTCTACTGCTCTAGTTTCCCGTACTGATTTTCGCGGGCATATTGGAGGTGGACGTGGTCGTGGTAGAGGCCCAGGAGGCCGGGGCCCAGGAGGTCGTGGCCCAGGAGGCCCAGGAGGTCCAGTCGGACGTGGTCAGCGACCTCGTTGTCATTACTGTCAGCAACTTGGTCATTATGAGGAACGCTGCTACACCAAGTATCCTCACATGCGACCTTCTTTTGCTGCTAATGTAGCTCAATCGGATACTGCTTCAAATGGTTCAGTCTCTCTCTCTCCTCTGAAGAATATGCAGCATTCCAGGCCCTTCTCAGGAAGTCCTCTCCTCAATCTCAGGCCTCTGCTTTAGAAACTGGTAATCCTGTTGCTTGTGTTTCTCATTCTGCATCACTTGGTCCTTGGATATTTGACTCAGGTGCTACTGATCACCTCTGTGGTAATAAGGAACTCTTTTCTTCCCTTACATATTCTAATAATTTACCCTCTTTTACTCTTGCTGATGGAACTAAGGCCCCCGTTCATGGGATTGGACAAATCTGTCCAACCTCCTCATTGACCTTGACATCTGTCTATTACATTCCTCACATCCCTTATAATTTAATATCGGTTAGTAAATTGATCAATTCTCTTAATTGTATTGTCACATTCTCAAACCATTCTGTTTCTGTGCAGGACCCTGGTACGGGGAAGATGATTGGAGTGGGCCGTGAGTCACGGGGTCTGTTCTACCTTGATGTGCCGAGTCCTTCAGTTGCTTGTTCTCTCACAGAATCTCCACAGCTCATCCACAGTCGTCTCGGGCATCCTAGTCTTGCGAAATTGCAGAAGATGGTTCCTCTTTTATCCGGTCTTCAAACTTTAGATTGTCAGTCATGTCAGCAAGGAAAACACATACGCTCCTCCTTTGCTAATCGAGTCAATAAACGAGCTGATGCTCCTTTTTCAATTATTCATTCAGATGTTTGGGGTCCTAGTCGTAGTGTGTCTATTTTAGGTTTTCGGTATTTTGTCACCTTTATTGATGATTTCTCCCGTTGTACTTGGATTTATTTAATGAAAAACCGCTCTGAGTTGTTTTCTATTTATCAAAAGTTTTCTGCTGAAATTCATACTCAATTTGGTGCTTCTATTCGTATTTTACGTAGTGATAATGCTAAGGAGTATGTTTCTGTTGACTTTTCTCACTTCTTAGCCACACAGGGTACTTTACACCAAACCACTTGTCCTCACACCCCACAACAAAATGGAGTAGCTGAACGTAAGAATAGACATCTCATTGAGATTGCCAGGACTCTTCTTATTCACATGCATGTTCCTCTTCACTTCTGGGCTGATGCAGTCCTTGCTTCTTGCTTTCTCATCAACCGCATGCCTTCATCTGTGCTTAATAATGATATTCCTCATAACTTATTGTTTCCAGATGTTCCTCTCTTTCCTCTATCCCCACATATTTTTGGTTGTACCTGTTTTGTTCATGATCTCACTCCTGGTAAGGATAAGTTAACATCCAAAGCCTTTAAATGCATTTTTCTTGGTTATTCTCGTCTTCAAAAGGGATATCGCTGTTACTCTCCTGACCTCAAGCGTTACTTAGTTTCCGCGGATGTCACCTTTTTTGATCAACAACCCTTTAATTCTATCCCATCTCCATTGTCACAGGTTGATCATGTTCTTCCTGTTCCTTTTCTTGACTTGTTTTTGCCAGATGCAGGTGCTTCTACTCCAGATAAGCCATCACCTATTGCTCCAGTACCTAAGGACCGTCCACTTCTCACTTATCAGCGTCGTAAGACAGTACCTCCAGTCGACTCGACCCCTGCTGACTCATTGCCCTCTGCAGTTGATTCTTCCCCTCCGGATCCTTCACCAGAGGCTATTCCCATTGCTCAAAGAAAAGGTACACGTATTACTCGTAACCCTTATCCTCTTTATACCTTCTTGAGCTATGATCGCCTTTCTGCTCCTCATTTCACCTTTGTTTCTAGTCTTTCTTCTGTTTCTATTCCTAAGACCACAGGTGAAGCACTTTCCCATCCAGGATGGCGCCAAGCGATGCTTGATGAGATGACCGCACTTCATACCAATGGCACTTGGGACCTTGTTTCTGCTCCTCCAGAGAAGTCTATAGTTGGTTGTCGCTGGGTGTTTACTGTGAAAGTTGGACCTGATGGCCATGTTGATCGTCTCAAGGCACGCCTAGTTGCCAAGGGTTTTACTCAAATCTTTGGCCTTGATTATAGCGATACATTCTCTCCAGTCGCTAAGATGGCGTCCGTCCGCCTATTTCTTGCCCTTGCTGCTGTTCGTCACTGGCCACTCCTTCAACTTGACATCAAAAATGCCTTTCTTCATGGTGATTTACAAGAAGAAGTTTACATGGAGCAACCACCTGGTTTTGTTGCTCAGGGGGAGTCTGGGAAGGTATGTCGTCTTCGAAAATCCTTATATGGTCTCAAGCAGTCTCCTCGAGCATGGTTCAGTCGCTTCAGTTATGTTGTACAGGCGTTTGGCCTAATTCGCAGTAAAGTTGACCATTCTGTATTCTATAGGATTACATCTCCTAACAAGTGCATCTATTTGTTAGTCTATGTTGATGACATCATCCTCACCGGAAGTGATCAAGACGGAATCCATCAGTTAAAACAACATTTATTCAGTGCATTTCAAACAAAGGACCTTGGGAAGCTGTGTTACTTCTTGGGAATTGAGGTGGCGCAATCTAGACAGGGCATTTCTATCTGTCAAAGGAAGTATGCCTTGGATATCCTAGAGGAGACTGGTATGTTGGGGTGTAAACCAGTTGATACACCAATGGATCCTAATGTTAAGTTATTGCCCAGACAGGGGGAGCCGTTATCTGATCCTGGACGTTATCGAAGGCTGATTGGGAAGCTCAATTATCTTACTGTGACTAGGCCAGATATTTCTTTCGCTGTCAGTACGGCCAGTCAGTTCCTTGATTCCCCTTGTGATTCACATTAGGATGCTGCTGTGAGGATCCTCCGATACATCAAAGGAGCACCAGGAAAAGGTTTGTTGTATTCGGATCAGGGAAATACAGAAATTTGTGGTTACTCAGATGCCGATTGGGCAGGATCACCCTCGGACAGACGCTCTACTTCTGGTTATTGTGTCTTCTTCGGAGGAAACTTAATCTCATGGAAAAGCAAGAAACAACCTGTTGTTTCCCGATCTAGTGCAAAAGCTGAGTATCGTGCAATGGCAAATACTACCTGTGAGTTGATCTGGTTAAAGCAGTTGATTCAGGAGCTTCATCTTTGTGAACAGAAACAACCCATGACACTCATCTGTGATAATCAAGCTGCGCTACATATATCCTCTAATCCTGTTTTTCATGAGAGGACCAAACATATAGAGATTGATTGTCACTTCATTCGGGAAAAGATTCAGTCAGGAGAAATCAAGACAGCTTTTGTCAACTCGTCTAATCAACTAGCAGATGTTTTCACTAAAGCTCTTAGAGGTCCTCGGGTTGAATACATTTGTAACAAGCTTGGTGCTTATAATATATACGCACCAGCTTGAGGGGGAGTGTTAGAATATTAGATATGATATGATTAGATTTGATTAGATATGATTAGATTTTGTCTTATCCGTAAATAGTCTGACTGTATTCTGACTGTATTAGGATTAAGTTTGGATTAGGTTTGGGCCTTACACTTAAGCCCATTAGGGTCTCTATATATTGTAACTCCCTGA